TACCCCAAATAATGGGCAAGTCCTGGCATTTCGGTGTCCATGATGAAGTCTTGCTGGGAATCAAAACCAGTTTCAGGAGACACGTTCCAGTGCATGAAGTAATGTATATAGGAATGAATCATTGGCAGGTGTTTTTTTATTATTTTTTTCTTATAACTTGAAAACGCTCAAATGCTACTGGACCCAAGCATACAATATTTTCTCAGATTTTGCATGGAAATTCTGCATGGAACAGTTCGTTTCCTCTAGAGATGAAGGCAGAAGGCCTTCATGGCTGCGTGATCCTGTCTTTTAACCAGAAGATTTCAGTAGCTTTTGAAGCAGTTTGAAGAACATGCTTCAAAACCCAGAAAAACTCAGCACAGAAGTCATCACAGTTGTGGGCCTGACTCTTAACCACACGAGCGCTAGCAAAGCATAAGCCAACTGTAAGCAAGGGGTAAATGTAGTTTGTGCCTCTTCCGAAATGCTTTTGTACTCCCTGAACAGTATGTAATGATATTAATGCATGTGAGAATTGAGTCCCCAGTGTTTATCGATATGGCGGCCAAATTAAAGCTTTTATTTTTCTTGCCTGGACAGTTTTTCTATTCTTCCTTTTTTCTTTCATGAACCTGGAGCATGACACAAAGATCACACAGTTCTGTTTCATTGGTTTGAATGAGTTGGATGAAACAGCCCTGAGGGTGCTATTCAAATTAAAGTGTGTGCAGGAGGCTGGAGAGGATCTTTGTGATTAATCAGGTGCGTGCCATGAGCAAGGCGGCCTGCCCAGTACGTGCAATAGTTGTCAGTATACGGATTTATAGGAAGCAGTGTGTACCACAGTGTACAACTTGCAAAAGTTTTGTAGTTTAGGTTTGGTACAGAAAAAAATTCCAAAAGAATTATTGAAAATGAACTGAGTCTCTAGAATTTGGGGGGAAACGAACAGACATGGAACTGAAAATTAAACTCTGTAGGATTTGTACTACTTGGAGTTTCTGCCTGTGCTTGAAGTACCCAGAAGTAGATTTTAATTACATCTTTATCCCCATTTAATGGCTCTACTTGCAGTGTTTTGAACTGGCAGCACAGGACCTGATTTCAGGCCAGGGGAACTGGAATCAGTTCCCCAATTTCCAATGCTATCCCCTAGTTGGAGATAGCATTGGAAAAATGGTCCATGTAGTTGAAAAGATCAATAAATACTTGAATGAACTGGTTATTTACAGTGGCTTGTTATTTGTTTGTTTGTTAAACTGGTTTGAAATATGACAGGTTGGTATTAGCCTTTTCCAAGGATCACATACCTGTGCTCCTGAAGAAAGTGGCCCCGTATTTAGCATAGCCAAGTGAATTAGCCTTATGAATTTTCAGCCTTTGTCAATAGGAAGCAGTAGATGCAAGAGGTTTTGGAATAATCAGAGCATTGGCATTACAGAATATTTGTTTAGTGTAAAAATACACCACTGAAGATGGAAGCAAAAAGGATAAGCAAAGAAATGTAGGATGCTATTCTATTCCAAATCATGGTTTCCTACTCCTGAACTTTGTCTACCTCCTCAGCGTCCCTACCAGGGAGAGGGATATATTTATATACATGTATGAAGTATAATAAATGAATATGGAAAATGATTACAAGTATATTTATATAAATGTATGGAGAGATTTATATTTATCCTCTGTAAATATTGCATCTCCCTTATCTATGGGTTTAAACTTCTCTTCATGCCACCTGAAAAAGATCAGAGCTTTTTTTCTTACAATCTTGAACTTAGATATGCAGGATGCAAATTCCATTTCCCTTTCCATGATAAAACCCTCACTGGTGAGAGGTAGCTATCAAAGCATTTCCAGTAGCCCTTCTCCCGCTGCCTCTTCCAGCATCAGCACTGGAGGGAGCGTAACATCTGAACTCAGTCTATGTGCAGTGGCAACATTTTTGAGACATCCCTAAATTTCAGAAGTAAATATGTATTGCTTGTTCTCCTGGCAGAGTCACCATCACTGAATACTGCCAAAGCTTTCTGAATCTGTTGGTTTGTGTCCCCCTTGCATGTGGCAAAGGAACATGCCCTCATATGCATTTCCTCACTAGTAAAGTGCAGGTTTCATTCGTGTCCAGCATTATCTGTGTCCAGAATTATTTGTGGCTCTCTCAAAAGCATTGGTAGCTGATTGGTAGCTGGATGTGCAGGCTCTTGCCAGCCAAATTTATGGCTGAATTAGGCACAACTGTGTGGCTTTGAGCAAAGTCCCACCTGTGTGCTAGTGCTGAAGGCAGCATTAGGTCTGCTCCCCAGCCCATTGAAACTACAGGAACTCCTTGGTCCTTTGTGCAACTAGAAACAGCACTTCTGTACCCCTCTAGTTTCTCGTCAGAAAAGCAGTAAAAGGAACTCTGTGTTGCTAATTTGTTCCAAACTGTTGTAATCATAAGTCAGTTTACCCCAGTTGTAAACACGTTCTGCTTTTAGGCCCAAAAGCTATACGTAAGTGTAGCTTTCAAACCTCATCTTAAATTAAAGCTGTTCCACCTTTCACCATACAATATGTTCTTGAAAGCTTACAGATGGATGTAAAGCACAAGCTCCACACTTAGCTTGTTGTGTTAGAGGCAAATCAGAAGAGGATCGGTATGACTTTTAGAAGATTTTCCTCTTCATGGATTTAATGTTATTTTTTATTTTCTCTTTGAGTTATTTTTAAGTTAAGAGCTTTATCATTTTGGGAGAAGAGTGTGAATTTGTGCAAGTCTTCTCTGGGGCAAAAAGGTGTGACGTGACAAGTTTAGAGTATCTTAAGAAAATTCAAGCTGATTCACAGTTTAATGAATGAATGCTTATAGGTGGTTAGAAATGAATCATGGATGAGGAAAGAAGAGAAACCATGTTGACGGATGAGAAGGATCAAAGGCCTTTAGTTCTAAGAAAGAGGCCTCAAAAGCATACCTTTAACATAAAACATTTTTGTTTAGATATTTTGGTTGGTTTCTTAGAGTTCATAAAGCAATTTTGATGATAGTCTGTATGCTTGCCTGTAGTTTGGTGTTGATTTATAGCTGATAATATGTGAACATTACTTCAGGAGATAAATTTTATAAGCAGAAGAGCCTTGAAAGATAGCCCTGTGTTTAATATTGCAAAAAATACTGTAACATCTGTCAGCTCTTCAAATTATTGGATCATACTATGCAAGTCAAGGTATTCATATAAAACTAACTTTTCTGAAGGATGATGAATCCTGTTCTTTAGATGTACAGCATGCCTCTAGTTTTGTTACAGAAACGTGGGTACAACGTGCGGTCACCTTGCGGTGTGGTAGGCAGAGTCTTTTTTAATCATTGCCTGGTATCTGTCCTTACCAGGCTGTCCAGACACACAAATTGGTTGTTCAAAATGGGGCATGCTGAGAATAGGGGAGGAGGCATGTTTCAAGATGGTCAGACGTATTGCAGGAGATTCTTCTGGCTCTTTATATCAACAACATCGATGGTACAAAACTGCAAAATGAGTAACACATGTTTTGATGGAATTAAATGTGAAATTGGAAAAGGAAGTATGTCTTAGTATAACAACAGCTTGCCAGATAAACCATTACACTCTAGAAATCTGCTGCTGTTAAAATAAAGAATGCTTTTTGAAAGAGTTCCATGTGGTATTGTTTCCATTTCCCTTGTATTCAAAAAAGAAATATCACCTGATTTCAGCTGAGTAAAAACAAACAGGCATAGAGCTCAGAAATACTTTTATCATACACCTACCTACTAACCTCTCCTCTCAGCATTTACTTTTTCTTATGTGGGTCCCAGGATGCATGAACTCTTCTGTCTTGCAAGTCCGCACTCATCCTATCATTTCTTTGCTTTTTGCATTGTGGAGGTATGCGAAGAAGAATTGCCTTCTACCAAGCTGTTCTCGGTTTCACTGGAAAATAATGCAATTAAAAGGTAAAGGAGTACAGAAGGAGTGCAGAGAAAATAGGAAACAAGGTTTCCCATCAGTGGAAAGTCATCCCATCAGTGCCTCTGCCCGTGACATGCATTTCAGCAGCAGCATGAGAGCCGATGTACTATATTCTTCCACGTGTTATGACCCTAACACGCCAGAACCGCTGCTGAACGCGTTGCTGTCTTCCAGGTGCCCTACTGCCACCTTTAATTCAGCGGTGACACGTGTAGGTGCAAAAGCTAATTGGGTAATTTACAGAGGCGTGACTTTATGACTGGTAAATCTGTTCTTTTTGTGTTCTCCTACTTGTAGCCATCCTGCTTTGGTCGGCTGTATTTCTAGGCATGGATTTTGCAGCACTGTTTGTTTGCATGTATTTGAATGCTCACATTTTTGCTCTGCTACTCATCAGTTGTCAAGAGTGAAACGGCACAGGCGTGGTCTTGCAGGAGAGGGGGCTGGCGGGATCCACTCTGTTCCCTGATCATAGCGTGGGAGAGGTGTATGTGTGGTAACCTGTTTCCACTCTGTCGTCTTTCTGAAAAGCTACAAATCCATTGTGAATATTAAGTTGAATAAGCAAAGCCTTTTCATAGCTGTAGAGTCACATCCAAAAATAAGTAACATTCTCACCTGCTTTGATCCTGTAATTAGGGCATGCACAGTAGCACCGAAGTGTGGTCACACAGAAACACCCTTCGTTCGGTTCTGTTGCTGAAAAGTAGGTGTCCTGTGGCATTCAGCTGTATTAGGGTTGTCTGCATAGGGCTGGCAGATGTGGCCCAGGGACCTATGGAAAATCTCTACCCTCACAGAGTGGCAGCAGAAGGCACGGGGAACACACAAGGGCACATTGCATGATACTGCATCTATGTTTATTTTTATTTCAACACTGCTTAGCTTCTCTTAAGAATATGCCATAATATGTTGTAACAGGAGTGCCTCAACAGAAGTCTGGCCCAGGTGAAACTGAAAATATTTATATCATTTCTAAGTGTTTTTACACAGAAATCTGAGTGCATATGTATGTCTCCACCCTTCATTTGTGGCCTTCTTTGTATTTTTCAGTCCATAATCTACATTCGTGACTATAATTCTCGTCACCAGGAGGTGTCTGCATACATCGACTATGCATACAGACTGACAACAGATGATTTTGAAGCCTACTTCAGTGGGAAGAAGAGACTTTTGCCTCGGAAAACAGATCTGAGGTATTTGTCTTGAATTTGTTTCCACTTACTTGCTTTTAGGCAAGAGAGAGAGAGATTTAAATGATTTTGGGTGAGAAGAGAGCCTGTGAAAGTGTTTTGCACTGGATCAGAATCAGTTATAGAGAACAGCTTAAAAGAAAGATCCTGTCAGATTTGTTTAGTTCAGAGAATAGAACTTTAAAAGGATGATACAGCTGTTGCCTGTCTCTGCATCTTTCAGTACCCTGAGGAGCCTGTAAATAGTGACATGCTTTAATGGGTAAGAGCATACTTCTTGAGATGTGGCAGTAGCCATCTCTAGCTTTTCCTGCTCTCCATGAGGTCCTTGGGAGGATGCTTCACTTTGAAAGTGGGTCATGTGCACAAGTCATATGGTGGTGTGTTACCTATGATCAGTGATAAAGTCCATCAGTAAGCTGTTAAACAGAAGAATATATTTTCTTTAAGATATATCCTGTGCCATTGTGCCAAGAGATATACACGTGAGAGATGCTTGCATGCGTCTGTACGTGAAGGCCAATTTTAAGAGGTGTGGCAAAGCTGAGGTCTGCCTGGGGCCTGGGCACCAAAGCTGTGTGTGAGGCAGCAGGTGTCATTGGCAACGGGGGAAGAAATCGTAAAAATTTCAGCTGGTGCTGTGAATTAGTATGGAAGTCTTCTCTTCCCATGTGCTAGAATGTAAGACCTGTGAACAGCTCGCTGCCATGCCATATGCTGTTACTTATCTCCTGGTGAAAAGGTGCCCAGTATGAAGGAATTACTGCATTTTCTCAAATTTCTGAGAGTGGTTTTCTGTACTGCAAATTATTTCTTTGGAAGCAATGCAAATCACTGCGCATGCTGTTCAAGTCAAATTCTGGTGTTCAGGATAGAGTGTTGTAGGGAACAAGTGGATTGGTGAGGTTGTGCCATTCATTTAGAGTACAGCAGATGTCAGTAATGAGGCAAAGAAGCACACAAATTTCTCAGCGTTGCCTGAGATGTGAAGCAAAATTCCAAATTTTACACTTCTAAATCACAGAGATGAACAGTTGGTTGGTGTTCATAACCGAGTTAAGAACAAGAGCGAACACACCATTGTGTCTGCTTTGCATGTTATGACCTGCCTAAATATTAGGATATTATTAGAGGCTCATAAATAAGCATTTTAAGTTATCACCATACGCAAAAAGAGATGTCACTGATATCCAGGAGCTGTGCTTAGTCCTGTTTATTCTATATTGAAAAAGTCTCTTTTGATATAAGCTTCAACCTCTTTTTTCCTCTCTTGTGTCAAAACTACTACAAACTCTTCATAGACAGTTTTGTATTTTCATTCCCTCTAAGGGTAGAATATAGCTTCATTTTACTTTACTGTTAAAAAAAAAAAAAAACCTAAGGTGTGTGCTGGGGGTGGAGGTGTTAAGGCATAACTTATATTCTAGTTGAACAGCCTTATATATAACGTGGAAAACTGCATCTGAATTTACCAGTTGAAGGTAGAGGAAAGTTCAGATAAAGCATGCACAGTTCCAGGAAGACCACTTTGTTTAATTTATATTTAGGTATGAATGTATGAAGCCTAGTTAATGAGGTTCATATACAAATGTGTAACTCTACATATAAGTATACCCACAGATCATGACGTGTTGGCACATTGGTACACTGGCCAAAGAAAAAACCTTTATGGTTAGACAATGTGATTCTAGATGCATCCTACTCATGGCTTTTCATACAGGCCTCACCCTGTCAGAGAACATCTCTAACAGTGATGCATTTCTGTAGCTCACAGGTGTTGTTGAGCATCCCATTTTGCATCAGTTCAGTATCTTCGGAGCAGGAACTTTTTTCCTGCCATGTCTCTTGTGATTATCATTGTGAATGTTATCAGCCAGACAGAGAACAGTATCAGGAAGCCCAGGACAAAAGATTTAGCTGGTACTGTAGAAGTTTGAAACAAGTGAATTCCCTTTAAGCACTATTCCCCACCTAGTTGATGTAAACTCAACTAACGAGTGCAGAGCTCTTGTCAGAGACATTTGCAAACCCTTGTGAGCGAGTGCCCCTGGCCTGTCACAGTTCGGCACGCATGTGAGGAGAGTTCTCAGGTCCACAAACTCAGGAGGGTACCAGTGGGTGGTACAGAATGTGACAAAAGGCCCACCTTCCCTGGCCACCAAGCTGAATTCTCCTGCTAATTTGTAATTTGTGTATTACAAGACACATTTCGATGATGCCTTTTCTGGAGGCGTCAAATAAGCTGAAATGGGCAGGCTGAGGGTTCTGGCATATTGTCTTGTTTCTCGTTCATTCCTCATTGGCAAAGATGGTAGGCAGAGGCAGGGATCCATATGGGTATGTTGAGGCCCACCTAGCCATTAGGTGGCCAGCAGCTTCTTTTGGAAGAGCAATGGGCAGAAGAAGTGGAGGCCTCTAACTTTGACTTGACCCTGAAAAAGTTTAAATAGAAGATTAAACTTTGCTGAACTTGAGCTCTATGCTGCAGGCTATTCTTGTTTGTTAGCCTGTGTTGTGCATGCCATATAAAAATTGATCAATTTTTGACCTAGGCTTTGAAATGCAAGGCTGTCCGTGGTAATAGTAATGAAAGTGCATGCCAGCCTGGATCCCTCTAAAACTTAAATTAAAAGTTTGGATTGTTTTCCAAACCACAGCAACAGAGAAGGGCCTAAATTTGCATCTGTTCTCTACAGCAAAATGGTAAAAATTTCTTCACAAACAGTGCCTTCTATTCCCATGCCTTCTCTATAATCTTTTCTTTCTGGTTGGAATATTGTTTTTTAGTTAACAGACTTTATATTTTGTTGTGTGACTGATAGGTTCTGCATTATCCATTCGGTGTATTGCACAGCCTATAATTCTTCTCAGTCTAAAGTTTTCTAGATTTTAAGCCCAGGAAGAACTGCAAGGACTCTGTGAGCTGGTCTCCTGCAGAACTTATGCCATAAAGTTTAGCAAGTCTTGAATATACTGCATAGCTGGATAATTGACAGCTAGTTTAGAAAGGTATACGGTTATGATTTAAAAATTCCTGTTGGCAGAGAATTTACCATGTCCCCTGTAAAACTTTTTATTGAATAGATAAATATGTCTTGTTTCTTGCTATAAGTCTAAATTGGAACTTCACCTGCTGGGTGCTGTATTTGTACTTGTATGCCAGATTAAATACAGCTTTAGGGTTAGACAAGCTGTGATTACATAGGCTGTCATCAAAACTGTCTTCAGCCATTCTTCAATGATCTATAAAGATTTTTTTTACAGCTAATTGTACATTTAATGGTTATTCTTGTCTTGGCAGCCTTGTTCCTCTGCCTCTTTATTTTCCTCCATGCTCCTTCAAAATGTGTCAGATGCTGTTTGTGGATGGAGATAATTTGACTGTATGCATAGTCTGTGACCTCAGCCTTTGAGTCTCTTAACGAGCTTCAAATCTAGCTCTTTTCATCACATTTTCCTTCCCCAGATACTTACACATTTAGGCAGATATAAAAATGTCCTAGTGTAAAGGGCACATTTATTTCCCAAGCTGAAAGAATGGATGAGTGTTTCAGTTGAGAAGGGTTGTTCCTAAATTCATTGTATCAGCTTAAGTTGTTCCAAAATGCTGCCTTCCTTCTTAAAGAATGATTCAGTTTGGGAAATTGCCTCACTCAGACCTTTCCAAAGCCCTTTGTATTTACTTTTAGTCACTTGGGAGATTGACATGTAAATCTTGGATTTTGCAGGAGAGGCTAGTATCTTGTGCAAAGCTATCAAATTATCTTTTAAATACAGAAATCAATACTTTGCTGCAACACGTTTTTTAATTAGCTGTTTGATGCTGTCAGAAGATATTAACTGTCAGAAGATATTAAGCTCAGTCTTAGGTATCCCCTGAATCAGGTTCTTGCTCGCAATACAGCTTAAAAATACGGAACAATTAGGTTTATGTGAGGTTCATATTTTAAATCCGGTGGGTAATATCAGAGGCTCTTGTATTTGATCTACGTGGTTCCTCCGAGTATTTTTGCCATTTTATTGCATTGCCCTATCAAGGGAGTATTATTTATATGATATAATCCTCATTTGGTTCCAGTTTATTAAATGAAAGGAATGTGTTAGGCAGTAAGTTCTTAAGAGGTCTGGAATCTGCACTGTAATTGAATCCATTCCTTCTCAGCTAATTTATGTAATCTGATGAGAAACAAGTGTAATACAATTTGTTCAAAGAAAATGGAGAATGTTCGCTCCATGGAACAGTACCAAAAAAAGTCTGCTGAATGAAGAAGCACAGCAAAAGACAAAGTTTGGGCTGCCTTTTGTCTGTTTAACTGTACTTTGAGCATCCCTCTCAGTTCTGTGTGTGAAGGAGGATGAAATTCATGTCTTGCAGTAGAATTGTGCTATTCTGATTTTGTGTGAACTTCTGCCCTGGGTTTTTGTTAATTTTCTGTGGCAGTGTGATAAATATGGTATGTATGGTAGTGTATTCTCTAGTGTTTTATCTTCATGTCTAGCTTGTGGTTGCAGTGTTTTCATTTCTTCTTACTAGTTCACTCAGTCTTTTCTAAAACAGATCCGGGTAAGGAGCCATTTATTGTAGAACAAGGGTCCTAGATTTTTCCCTGAAGTAATGGTCTGAAATCACTTACTTATCTCATCAGAAGTGAAACTTGTTTGGTTTTGGCCCCAGCACGCACCAGCCTGAGCTTGGGAGGTCCGGCATTCAGGGCTTTGTGGTGATACACCTCGCCTGCGATAGGAGTGCATCATGACACACCGGTACTTTCAGACACGGCGTGTTGTTCTTTGCTATTGGCAAGAACCATCCCATCAGCTTCTGCCCTTCTTTTCTTGCAGTTCAACTGTGGTCTGTTTTGGCTATGAGTAGGCGTAGCGTTTGGCAGCCAAACATTAGCTGGGGTTGGAATTCCCTCCCATTTTATTGTCAGGTATATACCAAGATACCATCTGTTAATCTGTAAAGACCTGTAAGCCAGATCATGGCCAGTAAGACGTTC